AAGTGCACACACATTCCTAATTCACTCATGATCCGTTTCAGCTCTCTGTCCCACCAAATCATAAATATTTGGGATATAACGCCAGTTAGCTCGAGACCTATAGGACCCCCCTTCTTTTGGCGGTATATAACATCATTAAAGGTGTATACGTGATTTTTCATGATAAACAGGAGAGCAATCCTTAACTAATGTAATCTTTGTTCTTCACCGCAGTTTTGTAACACCTTTAGCTCGCGCTACGTAATTTACGCGCGCTGTTTGTAAAATTTCAAATGTAAGCGCGCTTATCGTATACAACAGTTGTAGAGGAATTGATAAGGTCCAATAGACGAAACTAGTTTTCCTCAAACATTGTGTTTTCTGTGTGTCAAAGGAGGGGTAAGAGTTGAAATTATTTTGACGTCCTACAATATGAAACATAAAAGTGAGCACGAGAAAATTTCGTTCTTACAATAACCTTAAAAATTTGAATTTTCCCCGAGTTGAGACTAACCCTGTATTCCCATAATACTTAAGGTATGGGCCTTCTGGGAATACAGRGTTAGCCTCAACTCGGGGAAAATGTAAATTGTCAGCGCCATTGTACGTACAACATTTTATCGTGCTTTCTTTGTGTTTGGTAAGTTCTTTGCGTAAGAGAATCTGCTGTCAAATAAAACAGCGGTTGGTCGCTTAGAATTCAAAAATTCGTTCGAAGTGATTTTTTTCAACAAATTAAAATATTGATAAAAACTCGTAAATGAGCACAACTATTACTACTGATTTGTGCAATATGATTGACGTTTGCGTTATATACATCAATCTATTAATCAAATCAACGCAAAATAATTAAAAATCCCTTTTGAGATTAAAGTTGATTAAATCCAATTTATAGCGAAGTGTAGCACTGATGCAGCTCATCAGAACACGGGAATAAGTGTTTATCTAGTTTTAATCTGTTTTTCATTGGGTTGCCTGGGGTGTATTTCAGACTTCCCTGCCGATCTGGGAATAGAAGACAAAGAAGTCCAAGATAGCCAGCTTACCGCCTCATCTGAATTCAATCAYCAACATGCAACTTACATGGGGAGGCTTAATTACCAGTTAGGAATCCCGCTTTCATGGAGCGCSAAATATATGAATACCAATCAGTGGTTTCAGTTTGATCTGGGTCACACAATGCTTGTGACTGGCGTTGTCACACAGGGAAGAGGAT